GAGCAGTAAGAACCATTAAAACAGAATGTGAGAACCAAGGGGCTCCTAGAGTTATTCTGTTCAGGGATTCTTAACCTGGGGCCTGTGAATTTGTTTTCTTTGTTTTTGTTTTAGCAAGGCAATGGGGTTAAGTGACATACCCAGGGTCACACAACTAGTAAGTGCTATGTGTCTGAGGCCAGATTTAAACTCAGGTCCTCCTGAATCCAGGGCCGGTGCTCTATCCACTGTGCCACCTAGCTGCCCTGAATTTGTTTTTTAGAAATATTTTAACAGTATTTTCAATATAATTGGTTTCCTTTGTAATCCTATATATTTTATTTTATCCATTTGAAACCTTATTCACCAGACTGCCAAAGGGGTATGGACCACAAAAAAGGTTAAGAATCACTGCTCGAGTTGAACTCTCTCATTTTACAGATGGAAAAGCTGATGCCCTGAGGTGATCTGCTCAAGGAAAAAAAAAACCCAAAACTATAGGGGTTCCTTTCAATGTAACAAAAATGACATTTCATCAGGCTTACTTAGAAATTTAAAAATGAGTTAGCCTTTTTATATTGCCTAAGCATCGAAAATTAAATGTATCCATTTGAAAATGCACAAAATTTTATGTCAGGAATCTTTTATTTTTGATATCCCAAATCTCTCACATAAAGAATGCAAAAACATTTAATACACATCAATTTAAAGTGCTAAGTATTCTGAATGTCATAAAGACAAAAATGTGTTCTCTACAGTACTCAAATGTTTATGCATAAGGCAGAAAAAATAGAAGAAAACCAAACCAGTAAAAATATGTCAGAGACAACTTGTGATGTGATAAACCTAAAAATATAAGCACCTATTAGGCCTTCAGTTGTCTTTTGGAGTATCCTCTGAATGCTGTCGATTAAAATACCACTGGCTTAGGTTCTGTGTGCCTTGAGTTTCTTCCCAGGCTTCTTGGTTAGTTAAAGCAGCTTCTTTACTGACTTCAGAGGATAAGTTAAGCACATGGACAAAGCTCCTGCAAACAAATCAGATAAAAACTAGCATTTCCTTTGTCCAATGACACGAGTTGGTACAAATATGAAGGCCTGTTTGGTTAAAGAAACTGGGAACATTTAGCCTAGAGAAGATTTAAAGTGAACATGTTCCCTGACTTCAAAAATGGAAAGCCATCACTTGGCTCTAGAGGAAATAACAAGGACCAATTGTTGTTCAGTCATTTCAGTTGTGTCCAACTCTTTGTGATCCCATTGGGGATTTTCTTGGCAAAGATACCAGAGTGCTTTGCCATTCCCTTCTCTAGATCATTTTACAGATGAGGAAACTGAAGCGAACAGGGTTAAGTGACTTGTCCAGGATCACATAGCTAGTCTACCACCAGATCTGAACTCTTCCTGACTCCAGGCCTTGAGCTCTATCCATTGAGTCACCTAGCTGCACGAAGGACCAATTAAAGACAGTTAAAAGGTGGAAGACTTCAAATCAACAAAAGGAAGAACTATCTAGTACTCTGAACTGTCCAACAGTAAAACAGAGTATCTGAGATAGTAAGCTCTCTATTACTGCATGTATTCAAACAAAGACTGGATGACCACTTGTTAGGGATACTGTATGGAAAATTCATGCTTACATATCATGAGGATATTTCCAACTCTGGAATTTTAGGTTTTGAGGGATATGTGCTTTCCTGATTATGCAATGAAATAGATACCCTCCCACCCTACCCAAATAAGAGAGATCATAGTGTACAGCATAAGGAAGCCCTGAAAAAAGTGATTCCAAAATGTGTATCTGTTCCTTGTTGAATATGTATTTTTCCTTTCATTCTTGATCTTTTTGCTCTTTTGCACCTGATGATTACAACAACCCCTCTACTTGTTCTATGATTTCATCAGTAGTAGAACTGACATGTGACTTGATAAATTCTAATGAGCTACACAAAGTGATTTGTCTAGCATCACATAGCCAGAAAAATGTCAGGGGTAGATCTGAACCCAAGTCTTCTTGACTCCAAGACCAGTACGTACTCTACAGCCATTATACCATGCTTTTCGTTCATTTAATTTTCTATAGTAAATGTAGTTGTTAGAGGTTCAAAAATAAGGAATTTATGGAATGGAGGATAATATTCTAGAATAACCTTATCAAGAAATGGAATCAAGACTTCTATTTGGAAGACAATGAAATAGAATACAATAAATCAAAGTGAAATAAGATTGGAACACTCTTCTATTAAGGAATCACTTGAAGCCAGAAGACCAAGGTTTGAATCTGTTTTACAACTTCCTAGCCATGTAAGCATAAACTGATCATTTTACTTCTGGGAGCCTTAGTTTCTCGATCTATAAAACTTGGATAATATCCACCTGTCCTACCGACCTCCTCAGGTCTAGGTATGAGAGGTGGGATCAGAACCCACATTTTGTGAGTCTGGTGTGCTTTTCATTCCAGGTCATACCACTAACTCCTGCTACAGGGCCATTGTCAATTTCTTGAGATTGCTGGATTTTTGAGCTGAAAGGAACCCTTAGGTTCCTTTTTACCTAAAGGAATCAATAAGCCACCTCACTTTACAACTGAGGAAAATAGAGTGTTGTAGCCACAGTAGGCTTCTCTCCTCCCTCTGGGTGTAGGGGATACTGGTTCCTGGGCAATATACCCCAAGCCACAAGGGTCTCCCTGAAGGACAACGAAAGCAAGGCAGCTTCAACAAGTGCTAAGAGCTGCCATCTTGGGCAGAAAGTTAAAATCACACAGGGTTTGGACCTGGAGCCTGGAATTAGATTCCTACTGCCCTAGAACCGGGATGGGGAACCTAGAGGCCACAGGTTCCCCTCCCCTACAACTCCCCTCAACTAAAACATAGTGCAGTGGATTCTCTGGCTTGAGTTTCATTTCTAAGGATTTTTTTCCTCCGTTTTTATATTTCAACTTCCAACTTGGCTGTAAGAGCCTGTACAAAGAGAATGTAAAGGCCTTTGTCTCATTTTCTGTCTTCACGTCTCCAAAGCCAACCCAGGGCCTTGCACGCAGTTGGCCAGCACTAAATAAGTATCACTGCTGAACTGTATCTGTGTAGGTCACACAACATTTAGCACAATAAAAGGGACTCACTATGCACTTATTGCTGATTCAGAAGAAGGAACAGAAGGAGGCCTTGGTCTTTAACTGGGGCAGCAGAGGCAGGTCCTGTGGCTCCATGTAGCTGTAGAACAGCATGGAGATCCGGGCAGAGGGCAGGAAGAGAAGGCCTCAAACCCCAGCTGAGGATGTGAGCCAGCTTCTCAGCTCTGCCCCTTCACTACACTGCCCTGGGAGACTCACATCCCCTTCTGGGGCCTTGGCTTCCTCACATGCAAAAAACAGGAGGCTGGCAACATGGGAAGAACGGCAAAGGGAATGGAAGGGAAGATCTGAAGGACATCACAGAGGTAGAATGACTGGTAATTCATGACTAAATGGATATTTCGGAGAGGGGACAGGAAGACAGAAACAGGGAGAGAGAGACAGGCAGGCAAGCAGAGACAGACACACAAACAGAAAGACAGAGGGAGATTCAGAGACAGAGACAGAGAGACACAAAGCCTGGGGCTGGAACTAGCTCCTTCTTTATCTCCAGCTCCTGGCTTCCCGGGCCTCCTTCAAGTCTCAGTTAAAGTCCCACCTTCTGCAAGAAACTATTCCCAGCCCTCCTTAACGTTAGTACCTTACCTCTGAGATTATCTCCAGTTTATCTTGTATACATCTTGTTTGTACTGAGTTGTTTTTCTGTTATCTTCACCATTAGAAATAAACTTTTAGAAATCAAGGTTTGTTTTTTGCCTTTCTTTGCATTCCCAGGGCTTAGCATAGTGCCTAGCATATGGTAGATGTTTAATAATGGTTTACTGACAGACTTTTATAAGGGGCACTTAGGTGGTAATGGATGGAGCACTGGGCCTGGAGTCAGGAAGATTCCTCTTGCTGAGTTCAAATCTAGCCTCAGACACTTACTAGCTGTGTGACCCTGGCAAGTCACTTTACCGTGTTTGCCTCAGTTTCCTCATCTGTAAAATGAGCTGGAGAAGGAAATGGCGAACCATTCCAGTATGTTTGCCAAGAAAACCCCAAATGGGGTCAAGGAGAGTTAGACATGACTGAAATGACTGAACAACAACGACAGACTTTATTCCTAACTAAATTACCATTTGATTCTAATTAACATTCATCTTGCCTTATTTTCATCATAAAAGCAAAACCCAAATACAAAGCCACCATGAATTCAGCTCATTTTGCCATAATGCAAAAAAAAAAAAAAATTAGTGGCGTCTTATTTAATAGAAATCTTCCAGATGAATAATCCATATTTCTTTTAATACACAAACTACATTTGATGTGTTTTATATAGAAATCCTACAAAAAAGTATGACACTTTACTGCCTTCTTAGAGTACACAAAATATAATTTCAACTTTTCCCAATGATTAAAGGACATCATTAGAAACTCTTACTGCACTTTAATAAACATAATCTCAAGTGACAATTTAGGTATATAGGCTGTTTGCTTCTAGACCAAATGGCTTCAAACTGCTTTTGTAGTTGTATTTTTTAATAGTTCTTCTAATTCAGACAATTAGCACTTATTAAGTGCCTACTATGCCCATGTTTTGGGGTCAGCTGTCGGGGTAATAATGACGATAATGATGATGACAGCTAACATTTATATATACTTTACATTTATTTCATTTGATCTGTGTATCTGTCTCCAGAAGACACCTTGAAAATCTGTTCTGTTATGGAGTAAGAAACCAGATTATCAAGCCTTTTATGATTGTGTACAAAGCAATGTAGGTCAACAGGTTCGAAAGTATCTTAAAGTAAATGACGTATACTTTTCAACACACTTTGGAAAAGGCCTTTTTTCCACTAACTCTGCCAGCACGGTTGTGTCTCACACTTTAAAATTGACAGAAGTCTGATTTCTGGACAATTAAAGTGTTATGCTATTTTTTAGCAAGCTTATGGAAGACATACCTTTTGAGTTCTATATCCTTTTTCCGTACCACTTCTTTAAATTCACCCAACACATCAAACACTTTAGCATTATCTCCTAAGTGGTCAGTTGTAATTTCTGCCAACAAATTTTGTGTGATAGACAGCTGGTGTTGTAGCTCATCTAACAAAGGAAAAATAACATTAAAAACCTGCTTTTAGTTATCAGATCTCCAGAATATTTTTAAGTCTAAAAAAAGGTTCATCAATGAAGCAAGGATTCAGTCTTATAATAAAAATAACAGCAACTTGACCTTGTATCACATTTTATAGTAGACAAAATGCTATCCCTACAGTCATACTATGCTGACAGTTCAAAGAAGGTGGGGAAGGGGCTAAGCATTTAGCAAGCACCTACTATGTTCCAGGTGCCAGGTGCCACACTAAGAGCTTTACAAGGGGCAGCTAGGTGGTGCAGTGGATAGAGCACCGGCCTTGGAGTCAGGAGGACCTGAGTTCAAATCTGGCCTCGGACCAAACACGTGACGCTTACTAGCTGTGTGACTCTGGGCAAGTCACTTAACCCCAATTGCCAAAAAACAAAACAAAACAAAACAACAAAAAAAAACTCAACAAAGAATTTGGGCAGCTAGGTGGCACAGTGGATAGAGCACTGGCCCTGGATTCAGAAGGACCTGAGTTCAAATCCGGCCTCAGACACATAACACTTACTAGCTGTGTGACCCTGGGCAAGTCACTTAACCCCATTGCCTAGGCAAAAAAAAAAAGAGCTTTACAAATATGGTCTCATTTGATTCTCGCAACAACCCTGTGACACAGGTGCTGTTATTACCCCCATTTTACAGTTGAGGAAACTGAGGCAAACAGATGTTAAGTGACTTGCCTAGAGTCACACAGCTTAGCAAGTATCTGAGGCTGGATTTGAAGTGCAGGCCTTCTTTTTTTCCCCTTAAACTCAGGTCTTCTCCAAGCCAGTGCTCTATCCACTATACTACCTAGCTGCCTGCTGAATAGTATTATCTCCATTTTGGACATGAGTCAGCTGAGGTTCAGAGATATGGACTGCCTTGTACATAGTCAAACAGAGAGTAAATATCTCTACCAGGATTAAAATATAGGTCTCCTGACTCCAAGTCCAGTGTTTTTTTTGTTAACCTCCACGGAAGACATCTGCATAATGGTTCTGCAATATACTAAGTAGAATGGCCATGACATCCAAACCTAAAAACTGGTCCTGATCTCCTTCCATGTGAATGGACTTCATAGGGAGTTCATGCCTGGTAGAGTCCAGTGCAGTTGCAAAAGTTTTATAATCCTTCTTAAAACCCTCAGACACTGCCACAAAGGGAGCAAGCAATTCACTCTGCAAGGAAAAAAGAAAAGGCATTACTATAAACTAAAAATCATAATTGATAATCTAGTATCTCCTAGTCTGCCACTCTAAAATACCAACCATACCATTATATTACTGTACTTGGGCAAAATTGCTACTACTGGTAAGTCTTAATGATTTGAAAATTCACTGTAAATATGGTTTTTTGCACCAAAACAAGGGACAGGTTCCTGGGGTTTCACACTACTTCCTCTTCCTAAAAACTCTCTATTACGTGTGCACTTTAACTAACCAGAGCCAGAAGGCAGAAGTGTGTAAACAGAAAATGATCTAGCACATGAAATGAGACCTTTGGATTGTTTAGTACGCCATTATAAATGCTGCCACTTAGTGAAAAGCCCCAAAGTTTCCTGTTCTTTTCACCTAAAAATGAACATTCTTTAACATTAGGATAGCACAAGTTAGGGTTAGACTAACTTGAGTAGCAAGGACGTCCACCATGTCTTGCTCTTTCTGATGAAATAGAAGCTTGCGTTTCAATTCCTGCACTTTTTTTTGCAGTCTGTCCTTTTCTTCACATAACATGATTAGATTTCTTTCTTCCTTTTCTTCCATTACAGCAAGATGTTTTTTCATCTGTGAAATCCAAGAGAGTTACAGCAACTTTACCTTAACTCTTTACTAATATATTCCTTTAAAGCTGCTGCTGCTGAAGGATTCCCTCTACTGAGGAAGAGGCAGCACAGAAGTGGATCCACATCTCTGGATGTGGACACAGAAGACCTAGGTTTAAAGTCTACCTCTGACAGTTACAGTCTGTGTGACCTCAGGCAAGGAAGTCAGTCAAAAAACATTTAGTGAGCTCCTACTAACTGCTAGGCATTGTGCTAATAGACTACTGGATACAAATACAAATAAAAACAAAGATAGTCCCTGCCCTTAAGGAGCTTACAATCTAATGGGTAAGTCACTTACACTCCATAAAATGAGTGGACTGGTCTCTCTAGCTCTTTTTAACTCTAAATCTATGAGCCTATGAGATCTGCAATTTGTCGGAACTTAAGTCTTACGGTGTTGCCTGGGATATGACTCAGCGCCTTGCCTGGGGTCACAGCCGGCATGTGTCAGAGACAGAGTGTGGGGCCACCCATAGAGCCAGTTCTCCATTCTTGACACTATACTCCCTCAAACTCTACTACAAGAGGTGATGTTCCAGGGGAGGCCAACTACCTCCATCACCTCAACACTCCCTCCCCTTAAACTCATGGAGAAAGCCCAAGAGCCTGGGGACATATGATGCCCTCCAGACCATCAGCCCTGATTTCAGCCTGAACCACTATAAGTTGGACCCACAAGCCGTTCTCCACAATCCTCACCACCACTAACAACACTGCTGAACTGCTATGGATAGGCAGGTATACACAAAAGCCTTGGGAATACCAGTCCCCTGACCCAAGACTTGGTTTGTCCTCAGAGCCTTTATCCAGGGGATCAACCCCCATGAAGAAGGGGCCGGCTAGCCCTAGCACAACTGCCACTCACGGGGCATGCAAGTCACCCTAAGAAAGACAGGAGTTCTGATATGCTGAGTGAATTAAACCACCACTACCTTTCTTCCTTTTGCAAACCAATTTTTTTTTTTGCAAACTATTTCTTCTTTCACAACATGACTAATACGGAAATGTTTTACGTGATTGCATATACATAACCTATGTCAAATTGCTTGCCATCTCAGAGTGGGGAGAGAAACGAGGGAGAGAGAAAATTTGGAACTCTGAATTTCATAAAAAATGAATGTTAAAAATTGTCTTTACATGTAATTGGAAAAAATAAAATACTATTAAAAAACACCACCACCTTGACCATCTCCTATCAGAGGCACAGCTCAAGACCCTTAGCCCAGTACGCCTCACAGATAGCAGCAGCACCACCCAGAGACTTGTTTCTAGCCCAGACCAGACAACCAACAAGGGAATCAACTCTGGAGGTGACCTGGCAATTGCTTCTGCAGGAGCTGCAGCCCTTGCTACCCCAACAATGACACTGAAGACCCTGCAAAGATATCTCTCACCTCAAACGTCCTTGGTACTGTTACATGGTTCTACAGAAGATGTCGGTATGGTTTTACAATGATATTAAAGAAGATGCATTATCATCTGGTTTGCCACTGTACTGTCAGGACCAAGGAACTTTTCCATTTGACTACCAGTTGAAGTATACTGTCTCCTTCTATTAGAATATAAGATATAGAGAGCAGGAACTGTCTTGCTTAGCACAGCGCTCTGCACAGAGAAAGCACTTCATGCTTTTCATTCATTCTTTGTTCTATAAATACATTTGACTGTCTTTCATTTTTACCTTCACCGCCAGAAGTGTTAGAAGTAATGTCTGTGACTCCATCATTTTTATATCTTCTGGTGAAACCTAAAAAACAAGCATAAAAAATCCATGATGTGTGTTTGATTCCAAATTAGTTTATGCACATAAGAATCCTCTCAGGATTGGACATTGCTACTCAACATTCAAAAATATACTGATTTGTAGGATTATAAACTGTCCTCATCTCCTTTAAGGTTACCAGACCTCTTCTCTTCTGGGCCTCAGTTCCCTCATCTGCAAAATGAAGGAGGTGGTCTAGATAATCTCTCAAGTCCCTTCTAATTCTAAATCCTATAATCTTCCCTCTTTGCTCTTTGTCTCTGCTCTGGGCCATTGTTACAAAGGGTGTAAATCAAAAGTTCCCAAACTTATTTGGCCTACCACCCCCTTTAAGAAAAAAAAATTACTCAGTACCCCCCTGGAAATCTTACAAACTAGGAAAGAAGTCTCAGATTAAGTATACAACTGCACCTGAGGCTACCCCCCCCACCCCGGGTAAATGAATCTTCCAGGCTTGATCCCCGACATGAAGCTTCCCCTGCTTAGGAAAACATTTGGATCTGATACGTGCTGGGTACTCTTTGGACCTAAATATTTCCAGCCTGTTCAAAGTCCCTGGAATGAAGAAGTAATAAGGAGACTGTCACTGGAGCAATGGGGAAAGTAGGAGAATGGAGAGGAAAAAATAAGTAGCAAAGGACTATGAAAAATGAGCTCAGCAAAGGCTGCAGTTAGGGGGGCAATGTCCCCTTTGCACTTTCTCTTTGTCCCAGATCTGTATGAAAGATCTATATGCTGTAAGCAGGGCTCAGTAAATCTGGCCCCCCTCCGCCTGTTTTTGTACACAAGCTATGGATGGTCTTTACAATTTTAAATACAATAAAATGGAATTTTGAAATGCAAAAACCAGGTGGCAGCCAGATTTGGTCCATAGGCCATAGTTTGCTGACCCCTGCTCTAACACATGTAACTGATCATCCAACTAAAGTGTTTGAGCACAGCCGAATTCCATTAAACATTAAGAGCCTATGTATAAGAGGCTCCCCAAGAGAGAAGTCAAAGGATAAAGGCCAGGAGAATTCCCAAAAGAGATCTGTAAACTATTAACCCTATAAATACTGTTCCACATAACTATTAATAGAAATGCAAATCAAAACAACCCTGACCTCACACTGAGCAAACTGGCAATGATGACCAAAAAATGGGAACAGTCAGCGCTAAAGAGGTTATGGAAAGACAGGCACATCAATGCATTGCTGATGGAGCTGTGAACAGATACGACCAATCTGGAAAGCAATTTGGAATTATGCGCAGAAAGTGCATATTCTATAGCAAGGCATATTCCCCAAAGAAGTCAGTGACAAAAAGGTCCCATACACATCAAAAGATTTACAGCAACATTTTTTGTAGTAGTAAAAAACTGCAAAGAAAGCAGATACCCACTGATTGGAAAATGGCTAAATAAATTGTGGTACATAAATGTTATGGAAAATCCTACACTATAAGTGATGAGAAACATGAGAAGGCTTACATGAACTGACGCAAAGCGAAAGCAGACACAGGGAAAGAATATCCACAATGATTCAACATAAAAACAAAGAATGATACTGTAACAGTTCAAATAAGGAAAACTAAGGCACAGAGTTCTAAGCACGATCAACTGATGAGTAAAACACACATTTACCAATAAATAGGATCTCAGCTTCCTCAGTAAAGCTAAGACCCCAAAGTAGGGGGAATGGTTTTTTTTTTGGGGTTTTGGGGAATACAGAACAAATCTCTGCCCTCACTTCTGCATCCTTTCCCCGGCCTACCTTCTTTCACCAGAGAATCCCTGTTCTCCATCTATTAACAGAATGCAATTCTAGATAATATATCGATTTGCCTATCCCTTGCCTCACTGCCTGGAGGGAAACCCTTGTTTGCTTCCCAGTGGTGAAACAAAAGCACCAGATTCTACCACATACAGTGCTAAACTAACTTATTGTTACCCTGGCTTTGTGGGTGCTTAGTTCTTGTTCTGTGAAGTACCATTTTCTAGAATTTTTTATAGAGTCAACAGCATTTCTTTAGCATTCAGACAGCCTGCTTAGCTGCCATATGTATGACAGTCAGACGGATCTGGATCTGTGATCTCATTGATCTGCAAGTTCCCTCCAACAATACAGACTGTGATGCCTCTATGCCTCCCTATTCTGTGTACCTGTTGTCTATGTCCTTCTATAAATTCTTCAAGGAAGGCCATCCAGGGTTTTTGAAGCATAGCAGGGTCCCAGGGTCTGTCTGAGGGAGGGAGGGAGGGGGAGAAAAATTTAAAACTCAAAAGCTTATGGAAGTGATTGTTGATCAATCAAAATAAATTAATCAAAAAAACTTTAAAAAACCACATAAACAATGAGGAATTCAGAAGTCATCAAAGAACTGTAGGACAGAAGATGGGCTGATAGAGAGGCAAGAGAAGAGATGAGTGCAGAGCCAGGGGCCTTCCTTGAAGAATAAAAAAGAAAAAATCTCCGACCTCAAGGAACTTTTCTTTTCCCAGTAGTTCTAAATTATTAGAAAGCAAATTTTTATTCTACATGGAATACAATGGTCTCTACCAAAATAAAAATGGCACCACACCATTAATGAGTTAAATTCAGAAATCCTTTTTTCTTTGCTAATCACTATTCTATTCTTGGTTTAAGGAATGCTGCTAACCTTGGGGAATGTGGCTTGCCATAAGAGAGTTGGGCCTAGGCTATCCTTTAGGGATGTCTGGTTTGCCGTCCAAAGAAGCCTGTGCCACCATTTACAGGTGGACTCAAACAATGAACACTTCTTAGTCATGGGAGGGAAGGAAGGAGGGCTGCTGTTAGCCCCTCCATACCATTCTTCCAACCACCGTTCTCCTTGCCTCAGTTATGTAACTAATCATATTGTCCTCAATCCCGTGGTGTCAGCTTCTCCACTCAGTTCTCTGAGTATAGGTCTTTCTATAGGATTAAAATTCTATCTATGAGACTTAGTAGCTGAGTGACCCTTGGCAAGTCAATTTACCTTTCAGAGCTAGCTTCAGTCTTCTTACCAGTAAACAGGGATTACAATAGCATCTACTTCAAATAGTTGTCAAGATGATCAAATGAGATAATGCATGTAAAGTGGTTTGCAAACCTTCAAGCACTATATAATTGCAAGCTACTATTACTATTATTAGGGAAGATAAAAAGAAAGTAAGTGGGAAATTAGTATCAATAACAAATAACAGCTGTCATTTATATAGTACATGATACACATCTTCTCATTTGATTTTCACACCAATCCCATGTGTGATCAAAGTATAGCCATTATTATCCTCATTTTTAAAGGCAGAGAAACTGAGTCTCAAAAAAATGTTAAATAATTTACCAAAGGCCACACATTAAGCAGCAGAGGAGGACTCTGAATCCAGGTCTCTCCTGACTGCAAGCCCAGAATTCTTTCCACTCCACCATGTTGCCTCTGTGGAAGCATATACCAGGTAACTCTGGGATTCTCTAAAAAATACCTGCTGGAAAAGACTAAGTCGAAATAGCTCAACCATCAGAACAATGATTCTATGTCAAAAGCACCCTATCAACCCTGAAGGATCCAAGAGATTCCACTGTGGCCCACCTAAATTGGCTAACACACTTGGAAGGATTATGAAAATCCCCAAGCTATCCTATAACAGCAATTCAGTGCAAGACAGTGATACATGTTGAATGTATTCCCTAGACATACACAGTCTGACTTGTGGAAGCCTGGTTCAAGGAGAAAGAATGACAGCTACCACCCCACAGATTAAAGAAAAGCACCAATAAGTCAAGAGCCATGACAGAATGAGATATCAAGATGGCTGGGCGAGATGAATCCAATGGGACTGAGATTCTATGAAACAGAAAATAAGAACTAAGTTCCATTCCTTTTCCCCTAGTTCTCTCTCTCCCTAATAACAACATCAATGTTTGCTTTAAATAAAACGTGTAAGTCTCTGAGTGGTAGTTTGGAGTCAGGAATCCTGACTAAGGGAAACAGCTTGCCTAATGTTTTGCAGGGCTTGAGGGTTGAATTTACTCGTTTGGGGAGACAAGTATGAACATGGAAATCATGGGCTAAATGCATTACTATAGGGCACCAAATATAATTGTATCTGTCTGAGAAACTGGTAGTCAAACTCAAACAAATAATTTGAAAATTATTATTATTTTTTTTTTAGGCAATTGGGGTTATGTGACTAGTCCAGGGTCACAAAGCTAGTAAGTGTCAAGTGTTTGGTCTGAGGCTGGATTTGAACTCAGGTCCTCCTGACTTCAGGGCCGGTGCTCTATCTACTGCGCCACCTAGCTGCCCCTTGAAAATTATTTCTTAAAAAGTTCAGCAATTCTTTAAATAATGTATTTGCTTTATGGAAGCTATTTCTACCTATTTGATAGCATGAGAATTTATGCTTATAAACATTTAAACTATAGGCATGAACTAAGTATAGATTTCACTTCTTAAATTACATATTTCCCTAATACAATTCCTACATAATCCCGAATACAGCACTTGGGTCAGGAAAAGTAGATCTTTTTTTAAACATTAAGTTGGCAAAATTGGAGTCAGCTATTTTTGTCTTAAAACCATTTATGCCTTTTCACGCCTTGTCTACAAACTGTTGTTGCTGACATGCAGACAAGAGGAGAAAGGAAAAAAATGAGGGAGATGATGACTACTCAAGAGTCCCTGGATTTTGTAATTAAAGTATTGGATCACAAAGCTCAAGATGCTGTTATTTTTATTTCTGACCAAAATAAAACTGCTGGGCTTGGCTTTAGCCTCTAGATTTTTTAGATACAGCAAGTATCTTCCACTTTGACAAAGGTGGCAATGATGCTGACATATCCAAAGACATATTAGTAAAGGGCAAATTCTGCCAGGTCCAGCAAAGCTAGGAAAACTCAAGTACAGACCTGGGGAGGAACAGGTCACCTACTGTCCAAAAATTAACCTAGTTAGGTTTAAAGAGGACCTTTTCCAGAAGCCTGGTCACTAGACTATGAATTTTTTTTGGACACAGCAACTCATAAAACCAACTCCAGTATGAAGGGGTTTATAGTCTGTATTTGTAGAGTATCCTCATGGATGAAATCATGGCTCCTTGAAGAAGCATAAAGACATAAGAATTTTATATATTTGTACATTATGGGGGGGAGGGCGCGGATGGACAAGACCTGCGGCCCTCAGGCCACATGTGGCCTGAAGGCTACAGTTTCCCCACCCCTGGTCTAGGCACAAGATTTCTTAGGAGTCTTCCCTATAGGAACATGGACTCTTAACTTCTTTTGTTTTTCTGCTTAAGCTTGATTAATCTGAATTCTTCTTACACAAATATTTGAACATTTGGAAATAAATGGGGCTGTACCAATTCTAATCTAATCTATTTTTAAATCCCCAGTTTTATAATTTTAATATTCCTCCCACTAGATCAGGTAGCAGTTTTCAGTGGGAAGAACACTGCAGGACTGGGGCTCAAGCCCCAACTTTGCCACTTATGAGATATGACCTGGGGCAAGTCACCTCACCTCTCAGCCTCAGCTTCTTCAAATACAAAACAGACGTCACTGAAGCTGCTGTCTTTCAGGGTTACTGGGAGGACCAAACAACACCACACGGGTAAGATGCTTTGTAAGTCTTAGGTACCACATAAATAACAGATATTCTTATTACTTAAAGGTGAAAATGAAACACCTATCCTTGCTCCCTGTAAAAACCCTGCTGACCCTTCACAGTCCTCGAGTCCTACTTCTCCTTCCCCATTAGGTATCTCCTGTCTCTAATCCCTGTACTATTTACAGTCACTCATCTAAGGAAAGTGAGTGTAAATAGCAATTGTTTTTGTTCTGGCCAGAAACTCTGAGGGTCTTCCCCTCCCAGACTGATTATTCTGTGAAGGTAAACTAGGCCACACTTTGCCTCCATTCTTATCTAGTCTTTAATTACCGAATGGGTGTTGCCGCAGACAAAAACTGGAATCGGGGAAGACCTTAGCTTAAAAAGGCCAAGGTCTCCCAATGCATCAGGGGCTGTCACCAGTCTGACCTATGTCTTGTCACTGGACTCCAATGACTCTAGAGGACAGAGTGAGGCTGATGACTTTGCATACCTCTGCCAGTCTGTGAGCCCTCCTTAGAGGCCTCAGTGCGTACTGGGCCCTTCCCCTGCCAGAACCCAGTGGCAGGTACTAACATGGGCCAGACACAAGCCCTGCTTTATATACTGTCTGTCCCTCTGGAATGTGACTTCCTTATGAGAAAGGAAGTCCTCAATTCTGTCTGTATCCTCAGCCCTTAGCACAGTGTTCAGTCAAAGGTTTCCCACTGCATTGGAGGGTTCATTTAATTGGCTGAAGGTCTTCACCTGATTTCACTGAATATCTAAGGGCTAATAACCTCAGCGCCTCTAACCACTGTGTTTCTGCTCTAATGTCTTTGCTACAAAGGGCAGGTTCTGGTTCCTTCCGTGCTATGGCCAAACTGCACCAGCCATTCTGCTCTCAGTCGTCCCATGGGTTACCTTGTGTTCAGAGTGCTTCATGTTTTGTAGCCACACAGCTCACTGGGATAACACTGCATCTTGAACTCTGTCCTAAATGTTCTCTTTCACATGTACGTCTTCGCAATTCTTTGAGTACATGAGTAATTTTCTTATGTTATTCAGTGTCCAGCATAGTCCTAAATACACATTGATACTCGAATGTTTGTTGAATTAGTGACAAAAATACTTGATCTCCTCATAGCAGTATAGCAGGGGTTTGAAACCTTTTTTGTGTCTTGAATAATTTTAGCAATCTGGTGAAGTCTACAGATTTTTCTCAGAATATCTTAACTCATCATTCATCTTTTTTGCTGTGTTTAAGGAAATGCTAAAGTTCAGTCAAAGAACACAGAAAATAAGGATTGAATTTTTTCCCCATCCAAATTCGGACCCAATGTTAAGACCCTCTCCCTTAGAGAATTTTTTTCTTCAAAACACTTACTGTGTTGTGTTTTTTTGGTGTTTTGGAATTTTGTGCTGTATTAGTTTTACTGGTTAACTGTGGAGTCCTTTTCTTGATACTTTTATCTAAATCAAAGAAAGAACAGTATTTTAACAAAATGTAGAGAATGCATATTTTATTCCAAACTAAGGCAATAAAGTAGCTCTGAAGAGAATGACTGACCATTAATAGCAGAAAGATCCAGATCAGGAGGTGCAGCTCTATGCCCTTCTAACAGAGTTGATTGTAGATCATCCTTTTCAATTTGATTAGTATCTAATGATCCAGCAGAAATACCTGAAAGTTAGCTCACAAAATGTCAATGAGGAGAAACTTCATTTAGGTAAGAAATTCTAATGTAACTTTATTCAAAATAAACATGCAAAACTGCCCACAAAAACACAACCTCAGTTTTTCCTACATTCTTGGACTTAGTAAATACCTATTTGGCCTAGTAAAATTCTCAGCAATGGTCTTTTAGATTTTCAAGTGGAACAGAAATTTTCTGAAAAATTGCAACTAAACCAATGAAAACCCAATACTACCATGACCCCTTTATATTATTTAGTTTGAGGGAAGTTCTCTAAGATTTAGGAATTTCTAATATATCTCTTCAGTTTTCATATGCAATCAATTTTTGCTCCCCTCATTCTATTTTTATCCTTTACTGCATGTAGTTCCTGCCTTCCCATTTAGCTAAAATGTTCTCTGGAAGTCGCCCCTTATCAATCTCATTTTCATTTCCCTTTTCCCTTCTGTCATCTTGACCATACTGATTTTCACTCAATACTGTTTTAATTTTGGAAAACCACACATTAAAGACATGTGGAAAATGCCTGAATGTGTACTAGTGGGTCAGATGAGTAATTCCTAGGCAGTAAGCTCCTCAAGAGCAATCTTTCTGTCTTATCTATGAAAATATTCTCATCTCTGCACCTTTTCTCATAGAGACATTGAGTTCTCATAGGGACTTAGTCTAATACCCCTCTTTTACAGATGAAGAAACTGAATTACAAAGAGAAGAAGTAACTTGCCCAGGATCCCACAGTTATTATATAAGACAACACTTGAACTCAGGTCTTCCTACCTCCAAGTCTTGCCCTCTTCCCACTACACTAAGAGTCTCAACTGAGCTTCTCATTTCACTTCTCCTGCCTAAAATGGGTTGTGGTCTTCTACCTTATAGATTCATAAGGCTTAAGAGTTGGAAGGGCCCTTGGAGACCATCTAATCCAATCTCACTCATCTTCATAGGAGATAAGGTGTAGAGGTGACAAGCCCAAGGTCATAAAGGTTGCCCAGATCTTTTCACTACATCACTTGCCTCCCTGACACTGTTCATGGAGAACAATCATAGTAGAGTGAAGGTTACAGAAAGCTTCCTAGAGGACTATTCCTTTCAATTTTAGTGGATATTGGAATGAAACATTCATAAAGCACAAAGAAACAGCTCTTCTGAACCATGAATCTGAACTAAAGACAACCACCATAGTAATTATTAACCTTTTAAACAATTTTACTTTGTCCTAACTGAATTTAGAAGAGCTTTAAGAATAACATTTCTTGGGGCAGCTAGGTGGTGTAGTGGATAGAGTACCAGCCTTGGAGTCAGGAGGACCTGAGTTCAAATTCAGCCACAGATAACACTTACTAGCTGTGTGACTCTGGGAAATCACTTAGCCCCAATTGCCTCACCAAAAAAACCCAAAAAAACCCCAAAACATTTCTTAAATAACTTAAAGAACATGTCTTAAAAACAGTACAAGTTTGAATAAAATTATAACTTCTTCTGCTCTTGACATATTTCAATACAACAAAAATTATTAAATGTCCCTTTAGTGAGCAAATGCATTAAAAACCATCCCACTGATTTTAAAACTAAAATTTAATTTTGGGATTTAAATTTGGGATCATACTTACTTTTTAAAAACTGCCAAAATATATGAAGTTCTAACTAATGAACTTCAGTTGCAGAAGTTTAGAAACCATAAGTCACTGAAATATAGTCTTGCTTGTCACCTTAGTTCCTCTTATGCTCCAGCACAACATCAGATAGCCTTGAAGGACAGGTGAAAGATATATCTGGAAGGAGAGACCCAAGCCTTATAGACCCAAGCCTTATTTTAATCAATATTTGATTGCTCTCTGTGCTGGGGGCAACATGAAGAAATATGATAGTATCACCACCTTCAAAGAACTTGGCGATGGCTTAAGAGTATTTATGGGTTCAATTTAGTGATATCAACCTAAGCTTAAAAGGAAACAGTTGGGTAACCTTCCTGAATTAATGCTGAGTGTCGCCCTGCCACACACACACACTTCCAATGAGGAGGCACAGGATCTCAGAAACAAAACATAGCAGTAAACTGCAAAGTCTAATAAACGGAGAAAAGGCATGCATAGTTCCTGCCCTTTAGGAGCTTACAATAATAGCTGGACAGAAAACTAGTATACATAGAGAACAAAGTATGTACTAAGTGCATTAAGAATTTAAGGAGATGGGTTTGGCATGAGCTAAATTAGTTGCAAAAAAAAAAGTTTAATAGAAGAGGTATAAAGATGGTTAGGATTCAACTTGGCAGAAGATAGGAAAGAAGGCATTTAGGGGTAAGGGAGGCTTGGAAGTGGGCAGTATCATGGCTTGAATGAGGAAGAATGAACAGAGATGAAAAGAAACAAGGATGTGTTCGGGGTTTGTGGGAAAAGGAGGGGCCACAAAAGCAACAGTGCTTAGACTTGTATTGGAAAGCAAAATCTGCCACCCAAACTTATTTAGAGCTTAAAATATGAATTTAGGAATTTTACTTGGCACCACTGGGTGACTTACAAATTTCCCCCCAATGTTATAAACTACCTGTGCTACCCTTCTGAGATACAGCAGATTTTTTTCCACTTTCGGTCTGTTTCCCATTAGAACTGTTGATTGAAGTATCAGATGCAAGTGCCTGTCAATAAGAAAAAAAGAAGATTTAGAAGTTGCTAAGGTACCATCCTTAAAGTACAGTACTATATTAATGGAGTTATCTTTTTCTCTTCTTGCTGAACCAATTTTTTTTCATTTATTTAAACATTTATTGATTACTTAGTATATGCAAGTCATTCTCAAATTTAATCCTGATACACTGAATCCTCTAAAACAGTGACCAATCCACATATAGCCCTTCTAGAGCTTCATGTGAAGACCTTAAAACAAGGACGATATAAAGCACTGCTATTACCAATTGAATTAATTTAATCTAAAGTAATATAATGTCCTTTGAACAGTTTAAAATAATGAAAATATTTTCATAGCAACAAAGATTCTTTTCCAAAATTCTAATTGTTGCATTTGATTGATATCTCTGATAAAATCTGACTTGTTCCCTTAGCCACTCCCATTTCAATACTTAATTTCAATGTTCTGTTTTAAAAAAATAAAAGAACTAAAACTATCTCCACACAAAGGTTTAATTCCAAAATTTCATAAGTAGAATCCTACTCTAACTATCAATACAAGGTGGACCTACCTATTTCAATATAAGACCAGTTGGGAAGTAAACTAAGAGATTAAAAATTAAGTCTGTCTCTTTTAAGAAGCTATAAAAGGGTTAACTATTACAATGGACATTAAAAACATTTAAGTAAATCATGAAATTTGGTAGAAAATGTAAGGTTCTCTTAGTTAGAATAACACAATCTCAGAGTTAGATGGCTCATAGTTCAAACTCCTGCTTAAAAAGTAAATGTCTTCTCTGATTCTATTTAAACACTTCAAATGACAGGGAACATACTTCCCCACAAAGCGACTGAGTCCATTCTCAGACAGCTATGTTAGGAAGTACTCTTATATCAAATCAAATCAAATCTTATGTCAAATCAAATTGCCTCCCTTTAACTTCCTTTTAGATCTCATTTCAAGATAAAGTCAATGTTGAAATTCCCATTAATTAGAGTTCATTCCACAGAATCTGCTACCAGGATATCTATAGTAACATTGTGAACAAGAATTACAGAAATAAATAATGTTATCACCTTAACAACTTTTTTCTTCTCACACTGCAAATACCGAGACTCTACTATTCTTCCAGCTGTGGAGACAAAGGATATTGTGATGTTCAAAATACTTCCATCTATGGCACTTCCTACTGGATTATAATTTTTTTACTTCTAGAAAAAAAAATTCATCCTACTAAAACAGCAATTCTTGAATTTGCCCTATCCTCCTCCTCCAACTCCAAATTACCCTACAACGTCTTCAGACACTCAGCTATTCTGCTAGTTGTCTTTCTCCAGAATAATAGCTCTCTTATATTTTTATCAGAAACTTACTTTAGTATCATCAAACATTTACTAAGAAATAGGTAATGTATGTGGCATAATGCATACAATGCTGGCCCTGGAGTCTAGAAAACTCAGTTTCAAAACCTACGTCTAACACTTACTAGGTGTTGAAATCTCTCAGTCTCAGTTTCCTCACCTGTAAAATGGGAATAAACCTACTTGCATTGAGTTGCTGTGACGAAAAATCTTTGCAAGCCTTAAAATGCCAAACAAATGTGATTTGCTAATAATTTTTTGAATAAATAAAGCTTAACGGTTACCCACGTATTTTTATCCCTGTAGCCAGTGGAAGATAAAGACTTCCAAAGAGAAAGGCAGCTTTGGGAAATGAACTGTTTCTTAAGAAGATGGTATCAGAGGTGTTATCAATTGGGAAATGACTGAATAAGTTGTTGTACATGATTGTGATGGAATACTATTGTGCTACAAGAAATGACAAGCAGGATGCTCTCAGAAAAACCTGAAAGAGCTTACATGAACTAATGTAAAATGAAGTGAACAAAACCTGGAGAACATTGTATATAGTAATAACAATATTACATGATGACCACTGTGAATAACTTAAGTACTCTCAGCAATACAACGATCCAAGACAATTCTGAAGGATATGATGAAAAATGCTTTTCATCTCCAGAGAAAGAATTGATGGAGTCTGAATGCAGATCATAGCATACTTTTTATTTTTTTTTTTTTGGCCTGTGTTTTCTTTCACAACATGATTTACATGAAAATGCATGACTACAGATGTATAACCTATATCAAATTGCTTGTCTTCACAATGAGGGGGGAAGAGAGGGAGAGAGAGAGAGAATTTGGAACTCAAAATTTGAAAAAAGACTGTTAAAACTGTTTTTACATGTAATTGAGGAAAAAATATTAAAATAAAGGGTGTTTTCCTTACCAAAAAAGAAGAAGAAGGAGGAGGAGGAAGTATCTGAGAAAGAGATTTGGACTTCTAGACCACAGAATAAAATATAGAAAATGATAGATTTCTGGGCAAAGGATGGAGTGCAACTAACAAAAGCTGGTAATAATATGTTTTCCTGGACTCTTACAAATCTAACATAAAGGAAATAAAACTAAAAAGATGAGAAAAGTTGTCTATGTATATTTTTTAAACTGGAAAATATATTTTTCAAGTTTCTAAAATACAGGAAGAGCAAATAAACAAACTAACCACACAATAAAACTCATAGGAGAAAAAAAATCCAAGAAAAGAGCAAATAATAAAGCCTATGGCTTCAGATGGCTATACATAAATGTATAAAGTATGAGTAAGAAACAATAATTAAAGATATTAATGCAGGGAGGCAAATTTGTTCTCCATAGAATTAGTAGAATGAGACCCATGACTGCAGTAATGATCTGGGCCTTACTCAAAAACCAAACAGTTGATTAAAAAGGGAGAAGTAATAAAGGAACTGCTACCTTGATGACTTCAAGTCCTTAGATTCCATGAATAAGTAATTCAAAGTATTGGCAAATATGATTATTATGTCTCTAATGGACCTATGAAAGATCGTGAATAATATAGGCATCACAAGATGAAGAAGGGCAAATTTGTTCTAATTTCCCTAACTGGGAATAGTCTGTAAACTACAAGACCAGTGAGCTTGACTTCAAAACCTGGCAAAATTCTAGAATGTATTGTTAAAGGGATGGTTAGTGACCATCTAGAAAAAGTGGTGCTCACAATGCCCACATGTTTTATCAGAAGCAGGTTATGCCCGGCTAGTGACATTTCCTTTTTCCACAGTTACCAAACACTAAATCAGGAGGATGCCATAGACACTTTACACAGATTTCAAAAAAGCATCTGACAAAATCTCACAGGCTACTAACCTCAGACCCAAAGAGTAGTCATTAAGGGTTCAACATAAGCTCAGAAAGAGATCTCTAGTTAATGTCGCAGGTGTGCTTAGCCAGGAACTGTTTTAATATTTTCTACAATAATCTAGATGACATCAAAGATGATATATGATTATCAAATTTGCATGACACAAATGTGAAAGGCATAGTTAACATACTAAATGACAGGACTGAAAGTTCTTATAGGCTAGAACATTGGGTCCAATTTAATAGGGATAAATGTAAATTTTTACCCAGGTTCAAAAAAACAACTTCACAAGTACAGGATAGGTGAGGCTAGGGTAGACAACAGTTTAACTCAAGATGAATAATTCATCAGGGGATTTTAATTGATTATCAGTCCAATAAGAGTCAACATTGTGACAGGTCAAAAAACTAATGGAATCTTAGGCAGCATTAAGAGATGTTTAGTGAGAAGCAGGATGATTTCAGAAAAGCCTAGAAAGACTTATGTGAATTGATACAAAATGAAGTGAGCAGAACCAGGAAAATGCTGTACATAGTTACAGCAATACTGTATGATGAGAAAATTCCAATGACTTAGCTATTCTCAGCAATACAATGATCCAAGGCAGTCTGAAAGGACTCATAAGGAAGCATGCCATCCGCCTCCAGAGAAAAAACTGATACTATCTGAATACAGACCAAAGCAAGCTATTTTTCACTTTCTTTTTTCTAATTTGCATCTTCTTGAACAAAATGATATGGGAATGTTTTTTATATGATTGTACATATACAACCTATATTGGATTGCTTACCATCTCAGGGAGAGGGGAGGGAAGGGAGGGAGGAATAGAATTTGGAACTCTAAACTTTCAAAAAAAAGTTTTAAAAATTGTTTTAATATGTAATTGGGGAAAACATAAAATATTATATTTTTTAAAAGATGTTTAGTGCCCAGCACTACAAAAATCATACCTCTGTACTCTGCTGTGGTCAAGATATCTGGAGCATTATGTTCAGTTCTGATTGCCATATTTTAAGAACACTGACAAGATTGAGTGTCCAAAGAATGGTCAACAGCCAGGTGCTAGCAGCTTGGGGGGGGGGGAGAGGGGAAGGGTGCACCTGGAAAAGGTTCCTGCAGAAGGTGAGATTTGAGTTGAGTTTGAAGAAAGCCAGAAAAATTAAGAAAGGCAGGGGAAGGGGAAGAACATTCCAGGCATGGGGATAGTTAGTGGAAAAGCAAAGAGACAAGAGGTATCCTGTGTAAGGAACAGCACACAGGTGAGCGTAACCAGATTGTACACTGTAAAGAACAGAGTCAGGTTTTAGAAGACTGGAAAGTTAGAAAGCGGGTTTTAAATGCCAAACGACTTTATATATCATCTAGGGAGTCATGGGGAGCTACTAGAGCTTTCTGAGCAGGGGAGGCTGACGTGATCAGAACTACACTTAAAAAAATCATCTTGGTAGCCAACAGGGGGATAAATTGGAGCCTGGAGAGGCTTGAAGGCCAGTTAGAAAGTTAATGCAATAGGTCAGTGAAGAAATGAGTGCCTGAACTAGAGTTGTGGCTGTGTCAAAGGAAAGATAAGGATACATACAAGTGATGTTGTAAAAGCAGAAATTATAAGATTTCTTAAAAGATTGGAAGTATAGTAAAACTGAGAGGAAGCAAGGATAACACTGTGGGCCTAAATGACTGAGAGGATGGCAATCCCTTCGACAGTAGCAGTAAAGTTTGGGGGAAAGGAAAGGTGTAGGCGGAAAGACAATGAGTTCTGTTTTGGACATGTTGAGTTTGAGATGCCTATGGGACATACAGCTCAAGGTATCCAAAAGTCAGCTGATAGCATCACTGAAGCTTAGGAAAGAGACTAGGGGTAGAGACCTGGGAATCATCTGCATAGAGATAACTGAACTCACGGCAGTTAATGAGAACACCAAATAAGACAGCATAGAACCGAGGTACTTAACAGAGGGTCCATGAGCTTATTTTAAAAATATTTTGATAACTGTATTTTAATGTAATTGTAATTAATTTAATCCTTTGTGATTTATTTTATGTATTTAAAAACATTATGCATAAAGGGATCATATGCTTTACTAGACTACGGAAAGGGTCCATGACACAAGAAAAGCTATGACTCCCTACTATAAAAGGAAAAGAGAAAAGGGCCCAAAACAGAACCTTGAGGGGCATTCATGGTTACTGGCTATGACATGAAGAACCTGTAAATATCCTGAGAAGAAACAGACTGACGAGATCAACTAAATTTCAGTATCACAATCATATCATGTGAGGAACATGCAAAGGAACTGAGATGTTTAGCATGTAGAAAAGAAGATTTATGGGGCCATGACAGTTGTAGTTAAGTATCTGAAGACTTGCCATGTGGAAGAAAGAGCTGCTCTGTTTGGCCCCTGAAGGCAGAACAGGTGAAAAAGGATGAAGTTGAAAAGTCAGATTTAGGACTGACCTAAAATAAAACTTCCCCAAAGTGGAATGGAGTGCCTTGGCAAGTAATAAACTATTCCTTACTGAAAGGCTTCCAGCAAACTGCTGAATACGCTTGTTATTGTCATTACAGAAGGGATTTCTTCATCGGATATGAGTTTGACTAAAGAGATTCTGAAGTTTCCTTCCTGATTTTGGATTGCATGATTATTTAAGATCTAGAAGGGCTCACATAACCTACCTCATCATCTGGAAGGGCCCTTAGAACACAGAATCCAATAATAGCTCACAATTATGCAGGGCTTCGAAGTCATGAGATCAAAAGGCTGAAAGTAACAAAGGCTTTTTATAAATCATCTAATCCAGTTAAGTACATATTAGGAAACTGAGGCTCAGAGTGATTAAATGACTTGCCCAAGGTAATACAAATAGCAGTAAACTGTCAGGCTTCCAAGCTAGGGTCCTCTGGCTCCAAATGAAGCAGTTTCTTCATGATCCTGGATGGCAGCATTATTTCCTTTATTTTTTACAGCTACTGAATTTCAAAGGAGAAGTGACTTGCCCAAGGTTACCCCTATCAGAGTCCGGGCTCAAAGTCGTACCTCCTGACTTCCAAGCCCACAGCTCAACCCACTGTACCACCTCGCCCTTTCTGGCTCACCTGGTACTCTTCTCCCTTTAGCCTTGGGGTTCACTGAGACACTAGGTCCGGCTTCCGAGAAGGACCCCCTGAAACAGCACAAACAGAACAGTGGCTTCACTGGACTTACAGCTGGGAGGAATTTCAAAGATGAGGGTCACTTGACTGCAGATTTAAAATCAGAGAGGCCCTTAGAGACCTGGCTAATTTTACAAATAAGTCAACTGAGGTTCAGGGAGGTTAAGTGACTTGCCCCGGGTGATACTACTAGCAAACTGAGGCAGTTAAATATCCCGGTGCAGGAGATGGGCTGGGTTCAAATTTGATCTCAGAGATTTAGCAGCTGTGTGACCCTGGGTGCCTCTCTGACCCCTGTTTCCTCCTCTGCAAAATAAGGATAACAGCACTCATCTCCCAGGGTTGTTGTGAGGTTAAAATAATATTTGGAAAGAGCTTCGCAAACCTTAAAGCGCTATATAAAGAAAAGTTATCACTACTATTAGCAAGTGTCAGGTGGTATCCGAACCCAGGACTTCCTGGGTTATTCCAGCCCCGCACTCCGTGACTAAAGTCAGGCCTGGCTTTCCCTTTACAAAGGAGCAAACTGAGGCCCGGAGAAAGGGTAGACGTTGGCCGGGACGCAAACCCGGCTCTCTCCTCTACCTGTCCTAAGCAAGAGTATTGGAGGTCGAGGGGCTCAGGGCCGGGGGCCGGAGAACGCGGGATTCGGGGTTTCCGAGAAAGCAGCACGGAGGCCCTCCAAGGACCTCGCCTCCACGCTTCCCCCTCGGCCCCAGAAAACCGTCGCCTCCAACGCGCGGTGGCCGCCTCTTCCTCCTGCTGCTCTTCCTCGGTCGGTCGATCAGTCAGTCCGTCAGTCAGTCATCCACTCACCCCAAAGGCCTGAAACGGCGTTCCGCCATTTTCCCGCGTCTCCGTTGAACTGTAGGGGAGCTGAGTGGAGCCGGGGAGTGCCTCAGCCCCGCCCCGAGGTGTGGGAGAGACCATTCCCAGAAGGGTGGAACCTGGAATTCCCCCAGAGTTGGAGGCCGACTCTTTTGCGGAGATACTAAGCCTATAGAGCAGGATAGAAATCTCCATTAAAAGACTCAGACTAGGTCCAGAACGGAGATTAGGCTGGCGCTGGAAGGGCTCATTTTTCCTCTTGAGGGTTGTTCTCCCCCTACTCTCGTACTTGGTCTCGCCCCTCGGTGGGGCTCAGCGTCCCCAGGCCGCCAGGCCACGCCCGCGGGCGACACTTCCTTCCCTTTCCTAGCCTCCGGCGCCCTGCCTCCTCCTCCACCCCCAGCGCACCCCGCCCCTCCCTCCTCTTTTGCGCTCACTCTCCCCCTCCTCCCCAGGAACCCGGAAGCGAGTCTCTGAGTGGGGGCTGCGAGCCGAGCGGCCGGGAGGAGCCCGAGCCTGTGGGGGGCGGGCGGGCGGACCAAGGGATGGCGGGGGGACAGGCAGCCGCCGCCGCCGCCGCTGCTGCTGCTCACATCCCGCTTCGGTTCGGCCGCCGCTGAGGTGAGTCCGCCCGTGACAACGCACCGCTCCGGACCGGGGAGAGGGGCCGGGGCCGCGGGGGCGGGGGCGGCGGCGCGCGAGGCCGAGCGCCCCGGAGGAGCCTCGGGGGAGAGCTCGAGGCCCGGGCCGAGTGCGGAGAAGGGAAGGGGGCGGCGGGATGGGGGCAGTGCTGGGGGGGGGACTGGGGAGAGGGGAGTACTGAGGAGGAGGCGGCGGCGATGAGGAGTGGGGAAGGGGGAGAATGGGAGAGAGAGGGAGAAGAGGAGGGGGGATGGGAGTGTGCTGAGGAGGGGGCGGCGGGGATGTGGAGGGAGAGAGGGAGTGGGAAAGGGGGGAGAGTGAGGAGGGGCGAGCGGCATGGGGGAGGGGGCGTGCTGAGCAGGTGGGGGAGGGGAAGGGGAGTCCAAAGGGAAATTGGGAGCAGGGAGAGGGAGGGGGCCGGTGTGAAGAAGGGGCTTCACTTAGAATTTGGGTAGGAGAGCCCCTGAGAAGGAGCCGAGGACAGGATGGAGAAGTCCTAAGAAGGAAATGAGCTGGGGGTGGCTAAGAGTGGGGGGCTTCTTGAGAAGGAAGGGGCCGGAGTTTTGGGAGGGTCGGAGGTAGTGTTACAGAGAAATGTAGAAGGGAACTGGGGGAGTCCTGAAGGAGAAATTACTTCTTCCCCCCTAGACTCAATTGGAGTGCAGTTGAAGAAAAAGTGTACGTGAGGAAGATGGAGTTGAGTGGTGAAGGAGCAGTTAAGACAATGACACTCAGAGTTCGGGGAGAAATGCCAGGGACTGTAGTTTTTGTCTTTGTATTCTCAAAGCAGCACTGTGCCTGGCAAACATAGTTGGAGATTAATAGTCGCTTTTGGATTGATTGCTCTAGAACACAAATCAAAGTATCTCTGATTGTCAGCTTTTTCTAGGGTCCCAGTGCTGGGGTGTAGGGACCTTAGTTTTGCCAGGGTGTGTTCACCTGGGCCTTGGGGGGGGGGAACAAAATGCTGTTCGGTGGGCACAGGAGCCTTTTCTTGCTCTAAACTTGTTTTACAAGTGATAGTTTAGTGAAAGGTGGTGGGAGGCCATGAGAGTGTTGTGGCTGTCTGAAAGCTTTGTCAGTAAGTCATTATAATTGAGCCAGTGGCCTGGAGTCACAGGAAATCTGTCATTCAGGCTGACTCCCAACCCTGGATGAGGTCAGTCATCTTCAACCTATACTGAAGCACAGTTGGCAGACTTCAATTGGCCTTCACTCTTTCCCCCCCTAGCTTCTTAACAATCCAGGCTGCTCTCAGTAAATAATGCCCTACTAAGTAAAGGATTATACTGTGTATCTCAGCTTTGTTTCTAAGTAGTGACCTAAACGTTGTGTGTACAGGTGCCTTAGAAATAAGTACCAGAATAGCTCTGATATGTTCTGCCATAGAGTTTGAGTAAAAAAGAAATTGACTGTGCTTAGTTGCTAGATGCGATTTCCGGTTATAGCTAGACTGGTTTTCTTACTCATGATTGTCATGCAGCAAACTGCTGCTCTCAGTGGGTGAGATGATGTGTGTCTGTAGCAATTTTAAAATAGATTCTTTGTGTAGTTAATTTAGATCTTTAAAAAGCTCAACAGCCTGGAGCAAAAGACCAAGTCTAATAAAAATAAATAAAATTTTGCACTTAAAAAATCAATTTCACAAGTCTAATATAAGGAAGTCATGGTTAGGCGAAAGTTGTGGAAAAAAAAATCTGGGAGTTTTAGTGGACTGCACACTCAGTTTGAGTCAACAGTGTGGCATGGCAGCCAAAAAAGGATAATTTGGACTGCACCGTGTCATGATGTCAGGGCCCCGGGGAAGTGGTAGGCCTGTTCTACTCTATTCTGATCACCACATCTGGAGTATTTTATTCACTTCTGTGTGCCACATTTTAAGATTGACACTGATAAAGAGGACAGCCAGGATGATTCGAGGACTAGAGGCCATGGCATAGAGAGATTTTTAGCCTAGAGAAAAGAAGACTTTGTGGTGGGACAGGAGAGCATTCTTGAAGTGTTTTGATTTAGATTCATATAAGGACCAAAAATCTCTTCCAATTAGAGCCATTCAAAAGTAGAAGGGCCTACCCTGAGAGGTAATGGATTTCCCCTCACTAGAACAGGCCATGATGACCACTTGATGGGTTAGTTGTGGGAAAGGCTTCCTGTTCTGGTACAAGTTGGATTAGATATCTTCTGAGGTTCTTTCTAACTCTGAAATTCATTGATTGAGTAATAATTCTTCATTTCTTCTTATTTTCTCTCATGTTAAATGGGCATGGTCATTTTGTGTGTGGGGGGAGTTTCTTTTTTAGCTTCATCTAGTAAGCTTTATTTAGCAAACTTACTACTTGCTTTTGCAGATTTTTATCTTTGATTTTGGTAGAAGGGTTAGGGGATCCTAATTTTATAGATAGAAAAAAGGATTATTGAAAGCTTTTATTTGGCTTTTATGTAGCAATTCAGATTAGGATCAGAAAATTTGGGTTTTGTTTTCTGTTCTTTGATTTTACTGTAGGATCTTGTTTTTGTAATAATCGTATTTAGATAGTGCTTTAAAGTTTGCAAAGCACTGTCCTCACAACAAATGTGTGAGATAGATTGTTGTAAATATTATTATTCCCATCTTATATCTGGAAAAATGAGGCTCAGAGAGGTTGTATCTTTCTCATGATTACACAGCTAATAAATTTTTAAGGTAGGATTCAAGTCCAGATCCAGTATATTTCCCATTGCTCTGTGCTATTACTCCTAAATGGTCAACAAGTCTGCTATAAAATCCCAGACACGGGGTTCAGGACACAGTGGATGTGCAAAGACAAAAAAGCCTGGAATTCTTTCCCCTTCATCTTTGCTTTCTGTTTTCCTTCAAGTCTCAGCTAAAATCCCACTTTCTGCAATAAGCCATTCCCAGTCTCTCTTAATGCTGTTGTCTTTCCTCTGAGATTATCTCCAGTTTATCAAATATATATCTGGTTTTTACAAAGCTGTTCGTCAGTTTTCTCCCTCCATTAGATTTCAAGTTCCTTGACAGGGACTATTTTTATCTTTCTTTTTTATACCCAGCTTTTAGTACAGTGCCTAGCATTGTTAATAAATTCTCATGGACTTATTTGACTTGTCGAAATAGTCCCTGCCCTCAAGGAGCTTGCAGTCTAATGGAGATCACCTGTGCCTATATGAGTATGTATATAGAAAATATATACAACATGAATATAGTGAAGGCATTTTTTGTAGGGAAACTGAGTCTTGAAGGAAAACAGAGATTCCAGGAGGTAGAGATGATGAGGGGGTACATTCCAGATCTGAGGATCACCTAATACAGAGCCATGAAGAGGGGAAATGAAGTGGCAGAACAGTAGGTAGACTAGAATATATGGATGGAAGAGTATGTAGCAGGAAGTAAAAAGACTGGAAAGGCTGGAAGGGACCTTGCTGTGAAGAGTTTTAAATGCCAAGCAGGAATTTATATGTGATTGTTATTAGGGATCTATCTTAAGTAGTATTTATTTTTAAATGCAAACAAATCTCAGACAATGGAGAAAAATTAATATAACTAATTTGGAAAGCAGGGACAAAAACTGCATTTAATTTGATGAAATTTTAAGTGATGGAATTTTAATTTTTGTTTTAAAACTGATTTGGATATCTTACAAAACTATTTTGAAAGTATGTTGAGTTCAGTTGTTTTCCTTCCTCTTATATTTGGGATTTCTCCAATTTTATTTTCTCTAAAAGACTTGGTATTAAAATCACTGTCATACTTTACATTATATTGTAGTGATTTTTTTTTAGGCAAAGATTAATTGTTATTTACTTTTTGGCTCCAAATATTCCAGAGTATTCCAGTCCTTTATGTTTTATATGTTTTATTTTACTCTTCCAACTTCTTGGCCCTGCTTCTCATTTCTTAACTCTTCTTTCATTAAGAATCAGTAGCGTACTTTACCTTGATATTGAATAACAGTACCTTTTAGGTTTTTCCCCTTACAAATGAGATCGACTTTTTTACCTCTCTAGATCTATGATCATATGTTCAAAACAAGTTTGGTCTGCCTCCCATTTCTCACTTTTCATCTTTATAAAGGCGGGTGATACTTTGTGTGCAAACATTTTCAAAACTGTCTGTGCCAGGCAGCCCTTTCTCACAGTGACGAATATTGATTGAGCTTCTACGTCAGCTTCTTAGCCATACCAAGAAAAGCCCTACTCTTCTGTCTGAGAATGCTGAACAAATTTAACAAAGAGCTTTGTCTGGGGCCTTACTTGGTTGTAATGTGTGTCACTCAAATTAGGCAGCCCACAGCTTTCCAGAAACAGCTTTGAACCATGATTGAAGGTGTCTTATTTCCTCTCCTATTTTTATTTTGACAGGTAAATGACCTCAGTAATTTAGACATGTTTTTTTTTTAAAAAAGTGATGAATTTTGTGTTTTACTCATATCCTACTTGAGACTATTCAGACAGAGCTTTATGATAAACATAGTGATTCAAGTAGTAGACCTGTTTGTTAATATGACGTGTTAATAAATTAGCTTGTTATGACTCAGTTATATCCCCACTCTGCCCAGCTCAAAAAAAATTTTTTTTTTTGGTTCA